TGCGCGGTCATGCAACATTGTAACCATATGAAATTTTGATCATTTTTTTCTCACAAATAGAGCTCTCTTTTGGTGGTATTTAATAGCCACTGGGCACTTTACTTTTTGCGCTATAAATAAAAAAATTGCAAAAAATTTGAAAAAAAAAAAAGTTTATTTTTTTCTCTTATAAAATTTTTCAAACAGGTAATTTTTCTCCTTCACTGATGTGCGTTGTTGAGGCAGCACTGATAGGTGGCACTGATAGGCAGCACTAAAGGGCACTGATAGGCAGTACTAATGAGGTGGCACGGATAGGCGGCACTGAGACAGCACTAATGAGGTGTCACGGATATGCAGCACTGATAGGCGGCACTGATAGGCGACACTGATGATGGGTACTGATAGACGGCACTGACTGGCACAACCGCTGGGCACTGACTGGTGGCACTGACTGGCAGCACTGCTGGGCTGCACTGGTGGGTGGCACTGGTGGGCGGCACTGGTGGGTGGGCACAGGTGGGTGGCACTGCAGAGTGGCACAGGTGGGTGCACTGCTGGGCACAGGTGGGTGATCTGCTGGGCACAGGTGGGCGGAGCTAGTGGGCGCACTGCTGGGCACAGGTGGGCGGAGCTAGTGGGCGCACTGCTGGGCACAGGTGGGCGGAACTTGCAGGTGGCACTGCTGGGCACCGATCATCAGGGCACTGATCAGTGCCCTGATGATCGATGCCAATCCTCGCTCTGACAACTTCCGTTCTCGGCAGTACTTTCCTCACGATCTGACAGCGTGAGGAAAGTGCAGCCGAGAACCGGCACTTGCATTTCCCTCTGATCAGCGTGTCATTGGACACCGCTGATCACGTGGTAAAAGGCCGCTGTGATTGGCCTTTACCACATCACGTGATCAGCTGTGTCCGTAGGACACAGCGATCATGGAGATCGCCGGGTGAGCGCCCCCTGGGGCGCGCAGGAGAGCGCGTTCTGGGAGGACGTCATATGACGTCCACCCAGAACTAGCCGGCCGCAGTGCAGCCGTCATTCGGCTATCTGCGGTCGGCAACTAGTTAAAAAGTTGACGAGAGTCAAGATGAGATAACACTCACCAACACTACTTCACCCATTTGCCTCTTGTTATCCACCATTTTGTATTGTATGATTGATGTAATGTTTCACACCACTTCATCTTGTACGACTGTTTACAATTTGCCCCATCTGCGAAATGGGAAGCAACATGTTATGTCGCTGTTTTGACTGATCTATGGCTGTACATGCTCTATATGCTTTTTTTTGTCTTCTCTTATAATAAAAGTATTTTAAAAAATTTTTATTAATAAAAATAAATTATATATATATATATATATATATATATATATATATATATATATATATATATATACATACACACACACACACATACACACACACACATACACACACGGTTTTGATCTCTCATATGTAAAATGTACAGCACAGTGCAGCAATGCAGTAAAGCCTGCCCCTTCCTCTCCCACCATTTCAAGGTCCTGGAGTGGCCTAGCCAGTCTCCAGATCTCAACCCCATAGAAAACCTTTGCAGGGAGTTGAAAGTTCGTGTTGCCCAGCGACAGCCCCAAAACATCACTGCTCTAGAGGAGATCTGCATGGAGGATGGGCCAACATACCAGCAACAGTGTGTGCCAACCTTGTGAAGACTTACAGGAAACGTTTGACCTCTGTCATTGCCAACAAAGGATATATAACAAAGTATTGAGATGAACTTTTGATATTGACCAAATACTTATTTTCCACCATAATTTGCAAATAAATTCTTTCCAAATCAGCCAATGTGATTGTCTGGATTTTTTTTCTCATTTTGTCTCTCATAGTTGAGGTCTACCTATGATGCCAATTACAGGCCTCTCTCATCTTTGTAAGTGGGAGAACTTGCACAATTGGTGGTGACTAAATACTTTTTTGCCCTACTGTAATATATATATATATATATATATATATATAGGCAATAGCCTTTTGCTGCCCCCCCTGCATACCAGTATTCAGGTGGGAGAGGAAGGGGCAGGCTTTACTGCATTGCTGCACTGTGCTGTACATTTTACATATGAGAGATCAAAACCATGATGTCATCAGTTAGCAACTGTTCCTTAGCTAGCCAATCACAGTCTTGACCAAGCTGCTATTGCTTTGAATGCAGTCAGGTAAATGGTCTGATTCCATATCCACATATGTCAGTGTGAAGATGGAAATTGAATGAATGTTTTTTAGTTATATTCAAACATCCGCAAAAAAAGAAGCTGTAGGATGGTGCAAAGTAAAAATAAATATAAATTCTGTCATGTTTTAAAAATGAACAGAAAGCAGCTAATGTCAATATGATTGCACAAATAATCAGAGGTGGCAATTTACTTTGCAATAAATACATTATGAAAATGCTTAACGTCCTATAGTGAATCATCACACTTTGCTAAATTTCATAAAAGAGATCCCAGGGGATTATTATTCTGTAGGACTGACAAATTAGATA